GCAGGGGACCCGGCGGGACCCCGAAGCCGCCCCCGTGGGGAGGGGCGAGGGGGGGGTTGTCCCAGGGCAGACGACCTAGTTCAGAGCTGCGAGCATCTCGGGGGAGGAGCCTGGGATGGGAAAGTTTGTTCTGGTTCCCGTGTCCAGGGCCCGTCCTGGGGCTGCGCTGGGTTCTTGGACATCCCCCTCCCCCATCCCATCCCATCCCACCCCACCCCATCCCATCCCATCCCATCCCATCCCATCGCTCCCTCCAGGCTCCACCGACCCCGGGCACCTCAGAGTCCCTGCCAGCACGATTGTAGGCACTTTGAATCTTGGCCTAGTTAAACATTTGTCCACGTGGAAAGGGCGGAGGGTCGTTTCTCTCTAGTCCATCCTGGGGGACCCAGGTGCAGTAGGCAAGGGCCTGGGGCAGGTGGCAGCACAGAGGTCCCCAGGCAGGATGGTCATGCCCCTTATCAGCACCTGTTTACCCAGGCTTTTCCACATGTTATTCTTTGCTCTGGCAGGCAGCGACCTGGTGGCTGGGGAAGCCCCTGCCACAAGCAGAGCCCTGCCATTGGGTAGAATCCGTGAGCAGATGCGGGGCTGAGATTTAGGAGAGAGGCTGTGCTGGCTGGTTGCCTGTCTGCCTTCTCTCACAAGGAAGAGAGGAGCAAGTGTGGCCGTCTGCACACTTCAGGCAGATCTTGAGTGACAAATCTCTGGGCTCCAACAGGCTCTGATGGTTCACTGGGCCAACGGTTAAATGCACTGACCCCAGGAGCCAGAAGTTCACCCCGACACCATGGAGAAGGAGGCTTATAGCTAGGCAGAAGTCAGGTGCAGCCTGGAGCGGGGCCTGACTGGATGAGGGGAGGCTCAGCTCTCACCAGAGCCTGGCGAATAGCTCAGAGGTTTTGTAGGACACCCCCCCCCAAGTTGCAGGGACCTTAGGTTGGTGCTTTAACCCCAGCTCACAGAAAGGTGTGGCTACAGAGCCATGAGCCACGGTTGTCTCCCTGAAACTACCTTCTTGTGTTTGGACTGAGGCTGGGTGGGTGCTCCACCCCAGAGTGAGACTTGCTATTTATTAACAGTCTATTCTCATAGTTTACTCATCTTCTTTGTGTCTAAAACTCAGATAAATCTGGCTGATGGGAAAAAGGCACAGGGTGAGATTTACACAGAAGGCAGAGTGTCCTACTGAGGCCACGCTGCTAGGCAGAGGTAGTAGCAGAATTCAGACTCGGGGCCAAGCCCACCTTCCTTCTCCTGTCCCCTGCATTGTTGAAGCCTTGTGTGCCAGAGCTGAGGTGCTAATGTATTTGTGGTCTCTGGTCTGATGGGCAAGCTGCACTGCCCATAGCTGGAACTGCAGGTGTGCAACCACCATACCCAACCACTGGCTGAGATGAAGTCTCAGAGACTTCTTCAAGGCTGGCCACGAACAGATGATCCCTAGATTCCCTCCCCCTCCAAGTACAGATGATCCCTAGATCCCTCCCCCCAAGTACGTGATTCCTAGATACCCATCCCCCCAAGTAGCCAGGATTACAGGCTTGTGCCGCCTCACCTGGCTAGAAACCACTCTTAATGAACTATTTCCTTCATGGCCTTTGAAATACAGAATATCTTTTCCACATGTCAGCTGGCACTAGTTTTGTTGATGGGTTCCTTTGTCACTGTGGTTGCCGTATTGGACACCCCAGGTATAGAAAGAAGTTTGCAGCTTCTTTGCTGTCTGGTGTGCATCCCTGTCTCCAGTGGAACAACCTCTTTTGTGTCCTTGTCTCCCATCTGCAGACCGAGTTCTCATGTGTCTGGTGGACCTTGTGAGGAAGGCCAGGAGTCGGAACATGGGCACGTTCCACCCCTCCTTCGACATGACCAAATGCCTTCGAGACGGGCTCCACGCGGAGCTCCCCCACAACGTCCACCAGCTGGTCTCTGGCAAGCTGTACATCTCACTCACCCGGGTGTCTGATGGCGAGAACGTGCTGGTGTCGGACTTCCAGTCCAAGGATGAAGTTGTGGATGTAAGTCGGAGAGGAGCGGGAGGGATGTGGTGGGCCATGGACTCTTCCCTGTGCTGTGCACCCCTCCCTGTGCACCCAGCCATTCTGCCTACAGCTTCCTGAAACCCTACATGTGTCAGGACTCTGTTTTTTGTGTTTTTTTTTAAATGCCAGTATTGGAGCTTGAACTCAGGGCTTTGAGCTCTGCTTTTTTGCTCACACTTGGTGCTCTACAACTTGAGCCACACCTTGTATTTTCTCCTTTTTGGAGGCAGGGGATGGAGCCACTCTATTTCAGTAGCCCCTCCCCCTTCTTCAAGGCTCAGCCAGTATCACCCAGTCCTGGCATTCTCTCTCACCTGACCAGCTCTGTGTTCCATAATGAGTTATGCTTCTCTGGCAAAGACCTTAAGGTGACTGAGTCTGATCTGCATAGAGATCATTTGCAATATCAAAATACCACTTAAGCCAGGTGCTGGTGGCTCATGCCTATAATCCCAGCTATTCAGAGGCTGAGAGCAGAAGATGAGCGCTCAAAGCTTGCCTCAGCAGGAAAGTCTGTGAGACTCATCGCCAATAAAATACCAAAAGAGCCGGAGGTGGAGCTGTGGCTGTAGTGGTAAAGTGCTAGCCTTGAGCAAAAGACTCAGAGACAGCACCCAGACCCTGAGTTCAAGCCCTAGGACTGGCAAAAAACAAATTAAAAAAAATCATTTAACGTGGCTAAAGCTTTTCATGAGGGTTCTGGGATGAAAGACTGTTACACGAAACACAGGTCTGGACACGACAGCGGCCGGGGGGTGATAGCAGCCCAGCAAGCTATTTCATCATCTGTTTAAGCTGGCTTCTGGAAGAAGCAGTAGCTGTTGGTTCCCACGTGTACCTGTCCCTTAGTGGATTGATGTGTTTTCTGCAGGAAGCAGGGAGAGGGGTGGGGAGGAAATTGGAGGTTGGGCTCATGAGAGAAAATGCTTATGTAGCAAGCCTCGGCCCTGAGTTCAATCCCTAGTGCTGTAGAACAAAGGAAAGGGGTGGGGGAGGAGGGAAGCAAGGAGGGAAGAAGAGAAAGGAGGGAAGAAGAGAAAGGAGGGAAGGAGTTAGGACCACAGCACCCCCTTCACTTAGGACTCCAGTGGAGTGGCAGAATCTCAGCTCCCACCTCCAGCCTGCTGTAGGAGGGGCCCCAGCGCAGGGTGTGGAATCTGGGGTTCCACTCACGCCTGCCAGGATTTGGGAAGCACCAACCCCACCCCTGCAGTCCTGAGTCAACAGTTTGTGATCCTGTCTCCCACAGCCCCGTGTGGCTGTCTTGCCTGTGGGTAAGATTCTGTAGACCTGAACCACCAGCGGGCACAAAGGCTTGAGCATTCCTTCACTTGTGTGTTAAAGCACCTGCTGTGCGCCAGGCCTATTTGTTTAGTTTTGTTAAAGCCAAAACCTTTCGGTTTTGTTAGAGTGCCTACTGTGTGCAGAGAGCTTTTCAGTTTTGTTGGGCTGGAAGGGTAGAAAGAAGTGGGGCAGTTTGGAGGCTGGGTCCCGGCCCTCACGGCTTGTTCCTTCCTCTTGGCAGGCTGTGCTGTGCTCCTGCTTCATCCCTTTCTTCTCTGGCTTAATCCCTCCTTCCTTCAGAGGCGTGGTGAGTGAGTGTGTACAGCTGCTCCGCGCCCCGCCCCCCACCCCATCACTGACACCTCCACTAGCTGCTAGTGACCTGCTTCCCATGTAAGATCTTTAAGACTTGATTACTCCTGGGAGATAGTGCTTTCCTCTTAGGGGAAGATTGCACATATGTGCCATTATGTGTGGCTGACACAGATCTTTCATGTCTGTGCTACTTTGTAATGCGCAAGAATAAGTCTAGGCTGTAAAATGCTGGGTTCTTTTATCTTTTAAATTCACAACAACTGAAGCAGAATAGCTTCTAAAATCCCCATGGGCAGCAGGTGCAAAGGGAGCTGGCAAGCTCCAAGCCAGGGCCCTGGCATCGCCCAAACCCGCACAAGGTCAGGGAACCTATACTCAGGCCGCTGCCCACGGCCCCTCTGTGCCCCACGGCAGGGGCCCCGGGGGCCACCCCGGGCCTCTTGGAACCTGGCTGTGGAGTCCTGTGCAAGGTTTAAATCCTGACACAGCCCCTCTCCCTGCGGGCGGCAGGCAGGTGTTTTATCTCACCAGAACTGAGAACACACTCTCCCACAACACTTCTTTGATGACCTCTGACCCCCACGTGTGCAATCATTGCTCTTCCTCCCAGCTTCTCAGCTCAGGAAGGCAGTCCAGCCCCTCTGGACTCAGGTTTCAAGAGCAGCACTAGGGGCTGGGAAGGTGGCTCAGTGGTAGAGTGCTTGCCTTGCATGCCTGAGGCCCTGGGTTTGATTCCTCAGCACCATATAAGCAGAAAAAAAGCCAGAAGCTCTAGTGGTAGAGCACTAGCCTTGAGCTGCAGAGCTGAGGGACAGCGCCCAGGCCAGAGCAGTACTATCCCCAGGGCTGCCAGCTGCAGGGAGCCCCACTCACACCCAGAGAGCAGGGTCCACGCACATGCGCTGCTTTACAGAGGAAAAACCCAACTGCCAGCAGGGCACCAGTGCTCATGCCCATAATCCTAGAGATTGGGGTTAGAAGCCAGCGTAGGCAGGAATGAGTTGTTTTTTGTTTGTTTTTTTTTTATGGTTGGTCATGGGGCTTGAACTCTGGGCTTGGGCGCTGTCCCTGTGCTCTTCAGTTCAAGGCGAGTGCTCTACCTCTTGAGCTACAGGGCCAGTTCCAGTTTTCTAGTGGTTTATTGGAGATAAGAGTCTCACAGACTTTCCTGCCCGGGCTGGCTTTGAACTGTGATCCTCAGATCTCAGCCTCCTGAGTAGCTAGGATTACAGGCGTGAGCCATTGGTGCTGGTTGAGGAATGAGATTCTTATCATCAGTTTAAAAAGCTGAAAGTAGAGCTGTGGCTTAAGTGGTAGAATTCCAATCTTGAGTGCAAAAGCCAAGCAAGAAAGAGCTTGAGGTCCTGAGTTCAAGCCCCAGTACTGGCGTATGCATGCACACTCACACACACATATATATCAATCCACATGGCTTTCAACTGGGAAGCGAGGCCCCAGCTCTGTCTGGTAGACAAGCTAGTCCTGAATCCCACTCTTCCTATAACAGTTGGGCTAGTTGGAAACCCTCTTTGTTATTTGAGTCAGGGTCTCACTATGAAGTCTCCTGTTCAGCTTCCCCTGTGCTACAATTATAGTGTGAGCCACCATACCCCATATCAGGAGGACATTTTCTAGGTCTCAGACTCAGTACTTGATTAAATCTCAAAACCCTCTCAGACTATTGCTACTAAGCCAGGCATGGTAGCACACTTGTATAATCCCAACAACCCAGAAGGCTGAGACAGGAGAATCAAGGGTTTAAGGCCAGGCTGGGCTGCAGAGTGAGACCATGTCTCAAAAAAGAAAAGAAAAGACTGGGCACCGGTGGGTCATGCCTGTAATCCTAGTTACTTGGGAGACTGAAATCTGAGGATCACGGTTCAAAGCCAGACTGAAAAGTCCATGAGACTCTTATCTCCAATACATTACTCAGAAAAAGCTGGAAGTGGGCTGTGGCTCAAGTGGTAGAGTGTTAGCCTTGAGCAAAAGAAGCTCAGAGACAGTGCCCCAGGCCCTGGGTTCAAGCCCCAGGACTGGCAAAAAAAAATAAGAGAGAGAACACATGCAAGTGTTACTTCTTTTCAAGGTGTGAAAGGAAACAGTCACAAAGGTACATGTGTCCCACCAGGGATAGGGCTGTGGATTTGAACCTGTGGCTATCTGTCTCTTTTGGGGGCAGGGTTCACATCACCCTCTGTCCTCAGTACACAGAGCAAACCCCGGGATTACTTGGTCCTGTACTTACATTATATTGCACACCTGTAGGTGCCCATGTAGCTTTAGGCAGTGACCAGCACACACAGCCTGGACTCAGTCTCCCCATCTGTGCTGGTTTGGCCCCGCCCCTTCCCGGTAAGGGTCTGCTGAGCCAGTGGCCGCCAGCCCTGTCTTCCCACCATGTCTGCCTGCAAAGTCTCTGCCCAAAGTTCTGAAATCCCACCAGACACCAGCCCAGAGCCACACACAGACTCCCCGTCTCCTCTTCCTGCCAGCGATATGTGGACGGAGGACTGAGCAACAACGTGCCTTTCCTGGACTCCAGGTCCACCATCACGGTGTCACCCTTCTATGGAGAGCATGACATCTGCCCCAAGGTCAAGTCCACCAACTTCCTCCACCTGAACGTCACCAACCTCAGCCTCCGCGTCTGCAAGGGGAACGTCCACCTCCTGTCCAGAGCACTCTTCCCTCCTGGTCCCAAGGTGAGCTGGGCGGGGGGGGGCACTCTTCCCTCCTGGTCCCAAGGTGAGCTGGGCGGGGAGTGGGGGGGGGGGGGGGGGGAGGGCCTTCCTGATGATGAGGGGACTGTGAGTTAATAAGTCAGGGAAGGCCGGAGATAGTAGTGCATTCCTGTAATCCCAGCACTCAGAAGTCAGGGAGGGCCGGACATTACAGCGTTCAGAGGTAGAGATAGGAGGATGGAGAGGCTGGGAAGGTGGCTCAGTGGTAGAGTGCTTGCCTTGCCTTGCCTTGCATGCATGAGGCCCTGAGTTCGATTCCTCAGTACCACATAAACAAAAATAAGAAGAGATAGGAGGATGGAGAGTTTAGAGCCAACATGACTACACAGTAAGGCTCTCAAAAAATAGGGGGTGAGTGATCGTGGCTTATTCCTGCAATCCTAGTTACTCAGGAGGTTGAGATCTGAGGATGAGTTTGAAAGCAGCTCAGGCAGGAAAGTCTGTGAGACTCTTATCTCCCATGAACCACCTGTAAACAGGAAGTGGCGCTGTGGCTCAAGTGGTAAAATGCTTGAAAAAGCTTAGGGACAGAGCAAAGGTCCAGAGTTCAAGCCCCATGAGTGACCAAAAATAAAAAAGAGGTAGGGGGCACAGCTGGCCATTGGGAGCTGTCTTCGGTGCTGGGGCGGATGGGTGGTCTGCCTCTGCCTCAGCCCAAGAGGTTTGATTTCTGTTGTCCACAGGGCTCCCAAGGAACTGTTAGGCTAGAATGGAGGTTCCACCCAAGACCAAGGCACACTGAGAGCCAGGCCCCAGGGCCTCCTTGGAGGGAGGGTTGGATCTGGAGCCCAGCCCCACAGCCCCCTGGGAGCACAGGGCCCCGTGTCCGCTCTGGGATGGCTGGCCCCGCAGGCCCCTCTGCTGACTGCACGCCACAAGTGACCCTGAGTACACGTGCTTGGTTTGCTTGCAGGAGATGGGTGAGCTCTGCTTTCAAGGCTATGTGGATGCCTTCCGATTCCTGGAAGAGAATGGTACGTGGGGGGCTGTGTGTGGTGTATGGGGGTCACTCATGTCACACTCTGCTAGAGAGTCCCTTAGTTTTGTCAAGAGGTGTTCGATGCCTGCCTGCTCCGTCTTGATCAGTCCACTTGTCAGTCCTGTGATATAGGAAATCTTCACTCCATTTTACAGATGGGAACGCCAAGGCTGGGAGAGGAGTGGTGGGAGGGGAGGAAAAGGATAGGGAGGGGAGGAGAGGGGCTTACAGCCCTCCTGGGGTGGGACAGAGCTAGGACCCAAACCTGGATGTCCTCACTGCCCCGGGGTCCCCTCCCCCCGTTTGTTTTTTTCCTTTTGAACTCACAGGCTGAGCTGTAATGGGGCGGCTGGGACGGGCTCTGAATGAAGCAATCAGCCTGGTGTCCCTGCTGGGCGGGGTCGTGTCTGCTGGCTTGTCTCACCCCACTAAGCAACGCCGGGCTCAGGGCCTGGCGCTGCGCGGTGCTGCTCAGTGCTGGCGTCCATCACAGACGTCCCTAGAGGCTATGTCACCTAGGGACACACCACAAAGATGAATTCACTGGACAGCATGTTTCCGGGAGCAAGACCCTGCTGTTATACCGCAGGGCTGAATGGAAGAGGGCGGGATCTTCCGTGTGCTCAGGATGCCATGTGAGGGCGTCATCCTTGACACCAGGCCCGGCTCTGCCCCACACTAGTGACTTTGGACATATGGCTTAATTTCCTGTGCTTCAGATTCCTAAGTTGGCACTGGATAGCTCTGGGCAGCCGAACGGTCAAGCACTGGCTCAGGGCCTGGAGGGCAGTGGTGTGGTTGTGATAAATTGATTATAATCCTTCCAGCCAGCTGTGGAGAGGGCCGCACAGCTGGTGAGCGGCAGCGGCTGAGCAAACTCTGCTGGCTCTAGGGTTTGGTTTTGCTTGACTGCGGTTAAACCCAGGGCCTCGCACTGCCCAGCGCTAAAGACCCACTTTCTCTCTCCTGCCACAAATGCCCGCCGTCGTCCTGCCACTGCCCGGGGCTTGGCTGCTGCCGGCTGTGCCTTCCCCTGATGGTGGTTAGTTTCTCCCCACCTCTGCAGGAATGGGAGCTGGGCCCCAGCCTGGCCTGAGTTTGTCCCCAGAAGAGATGGAGCCAGAGGACCATGAGCCCTGCGTGGATAAGGGAGGCGTGGAGGGGGAGGAGCCTCTGGACCCCCTGCAGCTCAGCGTCGTGGCCTGGGATGAGGCTTTGTTTGGGAGCCTCTCCCCCAGGCTTACCACAGGTACCTGTGTGTGCCAGGGGCAGAGTGACGGGGAAAGCTGGTAGGTCCCGGCCCAGGGGTCTCCTGCCCTCCCTTCCCTCCCCAGGAGGCAGTGCCCAGTAGGGAGGGCCACCGTCTGCCACCAAGGGTCTAAACACAAAGGCTCAGGAAGCAGCCAGGCTGGGGACGCCCTCCTGGGCCAGCTCTGAGCCCCGGCCATGCTGGTCTCTGGGTGTCCTGGGCCAGCAACCTGCCTCCGGGGCCTGGCCATTCCTTAGGGCCTTTCTGTCCCCTCCTGTTCACTACGGTGCCCTTCCTGAGGCCCCTCTTGGCTTTCCCTCCCCCTGTCCCACCACTTGGAAACTTTACTGGACAGTACTGTAGTCACCACCACCCAAGGCGACGCTGTGGTGGGCCGATGTTTGTGTGCCCCCAAGATTCACATGCAGAGATGCGAACCCCCCAGTATGTCACAGTGAGAGGGAAGTTTGGGGTGACGCTGGGGTCCTCACCATGGGATCAGTGCCGTTTAAAGCAGGCCCCATCTGCGGGCCTGGTGGCTTATGCCTGTAATCCCAGCTACTTGGAAGGCTGAGATCTGAGGATCGCGGTTCAAAGCCAGCCTAGGCAGGAAAGTCCATGAGACTCTTATCTCTAAGGAACCACCAAAAAGCTGGAAGTGGTGCTGTGGACCCAGTGGTAGGGCGCCAGCCTTGAGCTAAAGAGCCCTGAGTTCAAGCCTCTGAACTATAGACTATGTCCCTTTCCTTTCTCTTTCCCCTTCCCTCCTTCCCCCTCTCCTCCTCCCTCATCTCTCCCTTCCCCTCCCCTTCTCTTTCATCAGGATCTCATATTCACAGACTTCCCGCCTCCATCCTTCTCCCAAGTGCTGGGACGCCAGGCGTGCCCCCCACACCCAGCTCCCTTCCATCTTTGCCTCACCCTTGCTGTGCAAGGCACAGGCTGTGAACCCAGCTGGTACCCAGCTTGGGACTCCAGCCTAGCAGGCCGCAGACAGCCTAGCAGGCTGAGCCCCTTCTGCCCTTCCCATGGGCAGGTGAAATATCTCCAGATTGTCTCTTTCAGCCCTGAGTGAAGCCATGAAGGACAGGGGTGGGTACCTGAGCAGGCTCTGCAACCTGTTACCCGTGCGCATCCTGTCCTATGCCCTGCTGCCCTGCACCCTGCCGGTGGAGTCTGCCATCGCCACTGTCCGCAGGTAAGCCCTAGCAGTGGGTGTGCATCAGTGACCTTGTAAAGGAACCTTGGAACCCCCACATCTGTAGCTCAGTGCAAGCTCAGAAACTACTGAAGGCTACTCTGAGCCGGTGGTGGCCTCCCAGAGCATCTGGCCCAGCCTCTCATGAGCTCATGAGGACATTGAGGCCTGGAGAGGTTGGGGTCAGAGCTCTGAGGCTACAGAACTGTTAGGAGGAAGGCCAGGCCTTCACATGGGGTCCTAGCTGCCCCTCTGACTGGTTTCCTTGAAAACCACAGGAAGCTAGTGGAGAGCAGAGAAGCCCGTCTTCCAGCTGGCCGTGTTGTATTCATGAGATTCAGCCACCGCTGCTCTATAATTTCTTTAATCACTTTCTGTAATTCTTATCATCTATAATTTATATAATCACTTTTTTGGGGGGGTGCTGGTCCTGGGGCTTGAACTCAGGACCTGGGCACTGTCTCCGAGGTATTTTGTTCAAGGCTAGTATTCTACCACTTGAGCCACAGCTCTACTTCTGGCTTTTTGGTGGTTGATTAGAAATAAGAGTCTCATAGATTTTCCTGCCCGGGCTTGGCTTTGAACTGCTTTGACCCTCAGCTCTCAGTCTCCTGAGTAGCAGGATTACAGACAGGACCACCACACCTGGTTTAAACATAGTGAGTGTTCCCGGATGTGGCTTCATTCCTGCAGACTAGTGACATGGCTCCCGGATCTGCCCGAGGACATCCAGTGGCTGCACTGGGCCACTTCCCAGGTCTGCGCTCGAGCCACCACATGCCTGCTCCCTTCTTTCAGGTAAATAACTTTACTGAGGCTGGATGAGCCAGGCGGGTCCCTTGACATCTGCTCAGGCCTCGCTCCATATTCTAGGGACCTTGGACACTGTGCCCCACAGCGGGGGAGGCTGGCTTTGTTGTGTGGCACCATCCTGTAAGTCCATCAGAGCGGGGCGGGCTGACACCTACCTTGGAGGGGAGCTCTGCTCCCCTGGGGCTCAGCGTTGATGGCCGCAGGGGTGGGGGCGGGGGGGGGTAAAGGAGACAGGTAAGGCTTCCCTCCAGAAGAGCTCTTGATGTCAGCATGAGGTGGGCCAGTTGGGGTGAGTATGGCACCCTGAGTTCTACAAATTCAGATGGATCCAGGAGGCAGGTGGGCCTTGCTGGCATTGAGGGAGGAGCCTTGTCCTGGAAATGACAGGCCTCAGTTTCCTTATCTGTTCCTCAGGGTGATTTCTACCCGTCTGGGTCCTGCAGGAGTCTCGGGAGCCACCAGCAGTGTGTGTGTGTGTGTGTGTGTGTGTGTGTGTGTGTGTGTGTGTGTGTGTGTGTGTGTGTGTGTGTGTGTGTGAGCTGGGGTTGCTATTGGTAGCTTGGGGAGGGAGGAAAGGCAGGGTGGGAAGAGTAAGGATTCTGGAGAACTACAGAAGATGTGGGCATGGGAGGCCAGGCCACGGGCAGTGGGCCTGGTGGGTGGTGGGGTGCCCATAATTGAGCAGAGAACACGGGCTCAGCAAGGGCAGGAGACTGGTCTCAGCCACTCACCCTCTGGGTCTTCTTAAGGGCCTGTTTTGAGGGACTGGCGGTGCCGGGCCACCGCTGCAGGGACTGAAGACTGCGGGCTGCGGGAGGGGCCACGCCGCTCACTTCCTTCGTTGTTTCAGATCCCCAGTGTCGTGGAGTGGCCAGCACGGGCCCCGCGTGGAGCCCCGCACAGACCGGCAGGCGACGCTGCGCCCCTGTAGACGCGGGCCTGGGCCTGACGCTGGGGACCTTTGCTGCTGAATGGTCCCAGCAGCCACGCCGACGCCTCCTGGCTCTCAGGCACAGCTCCCTTCACCCGGGAAGCTCTGCCAGGTGGGAGGCACATATCCTCCTGCTGCTCCAACCAGGAGCCGCTCGGCTTCTGTGCCTGCCCCGGGCAGCCGAATGACCCTGACTCCCTGGGACCCCAGAACCGTAGGCCGTCCACTAGATTAGGGAAAGCAGAGGACATTGATTTGGTCTGTGGACAGTAGGATAGCCCCTTTGGGGACAATGAGCACTTTTTAATATTAAACATCAGTTAACTACACTGGTTGGGGAATGGAGGCTGGAAGCTGGGTACCAAAGCTGCATTGCCCACTCTGTTCCACAGCCTGATGATCCATAGGGGCCGAGGGGCTGAGCGGGGTGGGGATGGGGGCCAAGGGTGGCATTGTTTGGATAGGGCCTTAGAGCCGGGCAAGGTGTGCCATCTTGAAGGAAGAGAATACAACTCCTGCAGGAAGCCTTCAGTACAGGGAGGGTGGGGACCATTCTCCCCCACAAGGGCCCCGCCTCAGAGATGGTAAAAAGAATAGACTTCATTACATCTGAGCTCCTAAGCTAAATTATTTCTAAAGCATTTTGTGTAGACATGCAAGGGAGTGTGTATTGACTTACATATTATGACAACTGGTGACCTGTGAATAGAACCAAACTTAATACCTGATACATGGGCAGCACCAAGCCCAGGGGAAGCTTCCACATCCCGGCCTCCTTGAGCCTGCCTCACTTCACGCGCCTCTGCTGCATTCCTTTCTGAACTCGCTTCTTCCCAGTTCCCAGTGCTGAGACACAACCTGCCTGTTGCTGGGGGTGTCTATAAAAACTCATAGTGCAGCAGGGCGCCAGTGGCTCACGCCTGTAATTCTAGCTACTCAGGATGCTGAGATGTGAGGATCGTAGTTTGAACCCAGCATGGGTAGGAAAGTTCATGAAACTCCTACCTCCACTTAACCACCAAGAAGCTGAAATAAGGCTGTGGCTCAAGTGGTAGAGCACCAGTCTTGAGCAAATAAAGCTCAGGGGCAGCACCCAGATGCTGAGTTCAAGCTCCAGTACCAGCACACACAGATCTTACAACTAGCATATGTATCTGTATCCTTCCTCCTCCTCTTGGCAATATTCCAGGCCTCATTCTTGCCAGGCAGGTGTTCTACCACTTGAGTCACATCCCAACCCTATATTTTTTAAGATGTGAACCAAGATTAGGATAAGGAAGTCGCTAGAGGCATAGCTCAGCAGTTCGAGCACCTGCTAGTGCACACACATACATGCAATCACTGGTGAGGCAGGAAGCTGCGTTACTAGTCAGAAGCTTCTTGTTAGTAGATGGAAACTTTCGTCTTCAGTTGCTAGCTGACCACTCATATGTGGGCATCTGTTCTCAGGAGGTCAGCAGGGTGGCATGGTTAGCATCAGAGCCACAGCATTTATTTGGCACACAGTGCATTGTTTACAAGCATGCATGTGGGTGTGTAACTGGACATGTATGTGTGTGTGTCTAGAAAGTACAGAGGGGACCCACACCCAGATGTGTATGGTGGTTACCAAGATGCCCACATGCAGGTTCCACATTTCTAGAACAACAACATATTTCCTGTAGCATTGGAAAATGGTGCATAATAAATGTAGTTTTTAAACTGTGCTGCTTGCCCGCCTTCTCCCTCCTCCCCCAGGCACAACCATTACCACCATTTCCTGCTGGCCTGGGGGCCTCATGGCCTCCACTCTGCCCAGGGCCTGTCCTGAACTCTGCATTTCAGACCCTCCCTCCCCGCTGCCCCAGGATTGCTCAGCCTCCTCAGGCCCCCAGACTCTCCTCTGCCTCCATCCTCCTGGACATTTGGCTCCTGTCCCTGTGATTCACAAGACATTGCCGGGGGGGGGGGGGGGAGGGAGCCGCGCTGACCCCCAGGCCTGCCAGTCTCTGGCTCTGACTGGGTGAGGCCCACCCACTGCAGAACCTGTGAAACAGGAGTGGGGGAGGGGATTTGGGCAGTGCTCCCGCCCCGCTCCAGCTGTCCGCTTCTCTGGAGTCTGACCTTGTCCCCAGTATTCTGCTTCCAGGGCTAGCCCTGTCCTTTCACGCCAAAGGCTTCCCTGCAGAGGGTAGGGCTCTTCTCATTTGCTCTCTCTTTGTTGCCAAGCCCCACCTGAGGCCCAGCCCCACTCCCAGATGCTGCTTTCCTGAAGCCACACCTGTCAGGCAGCCGAAGGTGTTCACCCTGGCAAGTCACCTATGGAGGCAGGGAGATGCAATGCCAGCAATTCCACCCTCTGCCCACACGAGGAGCACACAAGGACTCTGCAGCACCCATAGGGAAGCAGGGTACGTTAGGGAGAACGAGACATGGCGAACAACTGCCAGAAATTCAAAAACTCAAGCTTAAAGAAATACAGGAGGGCTGGGAAGTTGGCTCAGTGGTAGAGCGCTTTGCCTTGCATGCCTGAGGCCCTGGGTTCGATTCCTCAGCACCACATAAGCAAAAAGAAAAAAAACCGGAAGTGGCGCTGTGGCTCAGGTGGTAGAGCGCTAGCCTTGAGCTAAAGAGCTGAGGGACAGCGCCCAGGCCCAGAGTTCAGGCCCCACGACCAGACCCCCCAAAAAAAATTACAGGAGATACTCATCTACTTCCCTTAATGTTAGAGTTCATTAGATTTTGCCAAAAACCACACAGACATCCAGGTACAAAGAACAAAGAAAAGGTTTATTGCTGGCACAGGGGCTGGCAAGACCCTTCCCACAAGACAGGAGTGAGGAGCAGCACCGGCTATTGTCTATTGTCTGAGGTGACCCGTATAACCTACTGAAGTTTAGGAGGGGCTAGGAGGTGGAGATCCCAGTGTGGACGTGACGGCCAGGGGCTTCATGGTGGCAGACTAGGATCTATGGCTGCTGCCCAAGTAGTAGATAAGGGTCCTGCAGCTGTCCAGACCTGAAGGTCGCTCTCAGGGGCTCTTGCTGCCTTATAGGGCGGTAGCTGTCCCAGAGGAGTGCCATCCCAAGGCAAAGGGGGCTGGAGGCTGATTATTTGCTGTCTTTACTACATGGGTCTAGTGTTGCCTAGGAAGGGAGCGTGCCAAGCTGTGGAGCGGGGAAGGAGCGGGCTAAGCTATGGGAAGGAAGCTCACTGGGCTAACACTTAAGATTAAGAGACTGAAGTAATTTTAGGGGTAGACGAGGCAAGATGAATTAGAGAAAATGAGGCCTGGTGAAGGCAACTCAGAAACATAGTATTTAGAAACACAGAAGCACTGTCTCTGCTTCCTAGAGAGGTAACAGGATGCATTCTTTCCTGAGAGATACCTTTCTCACCCCAAGAATGCAGACAAGGAATGGTAAACATGGACCAGAAACTGGGCTGGGAAGGTGGCTTAGTGGTAGAGTGCTTACCTCGTATGCATGAGGCCCTGGGTTCCATTCCTCAGCACCACATAAGCGCCACGGAAGTGGCGCTGTGGCTCGTGGTAGAACGTTCTGCTTGAGCTGAAGAGCTGAGTGTTCAGGCCCAGGCTCAGAGCTCAAGCACCCCCCCCCCAAACACACACACAAAAGAGCCAGAAACTTAGAAAGTGTAACAACACCGAAAGTGACTGAGAGTAAAGATAAATTCCTATCTTTACCTATTTTTAAGACAGACCCCTGCCATTACCACATAAATGCCCTTGACAACCAAAGAGCTGTGCCTCGCTCCCTTTGAGAGCATCCAGTCTGTTAGAAGGTATCTCCTCCTTTCTGCTAGTCTGTTTGTCTGCTTGCCTGCTCACTTAATAAAGCTCCACCAAGTTTTCTTACCATTATGACTTGTCCAGAAATTCTTATTCTGGATCGAAGTCAAAGACCTTAAGTGAAGAGTCCCTACTTTTAGAGGGAAACTTCACAAACTCTCACCTGCATGTGGTGACAATATTGTTCCTGTCATAAAGTCTCGTAACAAACCTTAAAAGTCTCTGTGACCCCCATAGATTCGGGGGGATAATGGGTTAAACAAGCAGACACACTGCAAGACTTTCCAGAGCTTGGTTTTTTTTTTTTTTTTTGGTCAATCATGAGGCCTGAACTGTGGGCCTGGGCACTGTCCCTCAGCTCTTCAGCTCAAGCACTCTACCATTTGAACCATAGCACCACTTCCAGCTTTTTCTGCTTATGTGGTGCTAAGGAATCAAACCCCAGGCCTCATGCATGCAAGGCAAGCGCTCTACCACTGAGCCACCTTCCCAGCCCTGTTTCCAGAGCTTTTAACATGTTATGATGCATTCTCACTGCCAGACAGTTTTGTGTTACTTTGTGTCCCCACATGACTCTCCATCCTAGCCAAGAGCCTTGCACACAAATGCTGTCACACATTTGGCTTGACACACACTCTCACCATACAGGGGTTGAACTTAGGGACTCATTTTGCTGGGCAGATGATCACTTAAATTATAACCCAGTCCCCCCCTCCCTTTTTTCTTTTTTTGAGATAGGCCTCACTCTGCAGACCTCCAGCCGGCCTTGAACTACTGATCCTTCTGCCTCAGCCTCTTAGAGCTGGTGTTACAGGTGAGTCCCATGCCTGGCTAGGAGTGTTCATTTTGCTTTTTGGCCATACTGGGGCTTGAACTCAGAGGCAGGCACTCTCTCATCTGAACCACACTTATACTGGGGGTGCAAGGGGAGAATGTTCATTTCTAAGAATTACTGGGGGACTCGTGTTGTGTCATGCGGATGGGGAGGGAACTCCTAGGCTGGGGGGGGGGGCGGGCAGAGCGTTGGGGGCTACGGGACTCTCCCAGGCACTGTGGCTGTGGAAAGAAACGAGGAAGGGAGCAAGAGCCCAGGGCCTAGGCAGGAGGAGGCAATCGTGTCCCACCTTCAGTCTCCCCCCTCCGCACCCCCCAATTAGGGGTGACCTCTGGGAGCCCGTGCTGAGCAGGGTCCTATCCAGGCGAATGGGGTGAGGACGGAGCCTGGGGTGCGCGTGCTGGGAGGCGGAGGTGGCACCCTGGCCCTCCTTCCTGGGACCCCAGCTTGCTCTCGGTCTGTCTTGGGGGAGCAGAAGCTTCCATGGAGCTGAAGCTCAACATGGCCTCGGTCTGCCCAGGTCTGGGGGTAAAAAAAGAAGTCAGCGGGGAAACCCCGGTTCCAGGCGCCATGCAGGACTGCTGGGCCGAGGGAGCCGGACCAAGCCCCTGCCTTCCCAGGGCCAGCGCCTCGGCTGGAAAGACCCACGGGCCAGCGGCCAGGACGGGGCAACGGGACGCCCCAGATCCTAGTGCCCAAACTCCCAGATCCCAGGGTGCACACTACTCAGAGTCCAATGTGCACACTCCTCAGATCCCAGGGTCCATACTCCTCATATCTCAGTGTCAGCACTCCAAAGGTTACAGTGTCCAAACTCCCCACTTCCCAGTATGCAGACTCATAGACTCCAGTGTGCACACTCCTCAGACCCCAGTGTCCACACTAACCCATTCCCATTGACCACACTCCCAACATCCCAGTATCCACACTCCATAGATTCCACTGTCCAGACTGCCCAGATCCAGAGTCAACACTCCCCAGAGGGCAGTGTGAAGACTCCTCAGATGCCAGTGTCCGCACCCCACAGAGCACAGTGTCCACACTCCCCAGATCCAAAGTCCACACTCCCCAGATTCCAGTGTCCACATTGCCCAGATCCCAGAGTCCACATTCCCTAGATCCCCATGTCCATATTCCCCCAAACGCAAAGTTCACACTCCCGATCCCAGTGTACACTCTCCTCTGATCCCAGTGTCTCCACTTCCCAATCCCATTGACCGAGTACACTCCCAAGATCCCAGAGTCCACACTCCCCAGATCCTAGTGACCACACTCCCAAGATCTAGTATCCACACTCCCCAGATTCCAATGTCTATACTCCCCATTTCCCAGTGTACACACTCCCAAGATCCCAGTGTACAAACTCCCCAGATCCCAGTGTCCACACACCCCAAATGCAGTGTCCACCCTCCAAGATACCAGTGTGCACATTACCCAGAGTTCAGTGTGCACACTCCTCTATCCCAGGATCCACACTTCTCAGATCCCAGTGTCCACATCCCAGTATCCAGACTCCATAGATTCCAGTGTCCACACTGCCAAGATCCAGGGTCCACACTCCCCCGATCTTAGTGTCCACCCGCCCAAGATCCCAGTGTCCACACTCCCCATGTCTCAGTGTCCACAGTCCATGGACTCAAGTGTCCACATTACCAGATCTTAGTGTCCTCAGTAATCACAGTCCGGTGTCCACACTCCCTGATACCAGTGTCCACACTGCCCAGAGTGCAGTGTGTAGACTCACCAGATGCTAGTGGCCATATCCCACAGAGCACAATGTTCACATTCCCCAGATCCAATGTTCACACTCCACAGATCTCAGTGTGCACACCTCCCAGAGTCCAGTGTGCACACTCCTCTGATCCCAGAATCCAAACTCCCCAGATTTCTGGATGCATATTCCTCAGACCCAGTTTCCACACAATCCAATTCCCAGTGTCCACACCCCACAAAGCACAGTGTCCACACTCAGCAGAGTCCAATGTTCTTACTCCCAAGATCCCAGTGTCCACAATCCACAAGGTCCAGTGTCCACACTCCCCAGATACCAGTGTCCAAACTCTCCAGATCCCTGTGTCCACGATTCACAGAATCCAGTCTACACTCACAACATCCTAGGATCCACATTGCCCAGATCCAAGTGTCCACACTCCCAAGATCCCAGCGTCCACACTCTCCAGATCCCAGTGTCCACAGTCCACAAATCCCAGGGCCAACACTCCCCTAACACAGTATTCACACTCCCAAGATCCCAGTATCCATCCACAGAGCCAGATCCCCGAATCCACACTCTCCAGATGTCAGTATCCACACTCCCCAGATCCCAGTGTCCACACTTTCCAGATATCATTGTTCACACTCCTCAGTGTCCATACTCCCCAGATCCCAGTGTCCATACTCCCCAGATCCCAGTGTCCATACTCCCCAGATTCCAGTGTCTATACTCCCCAGAACCCAGTGTCCACACTCCCCAGATCTCTGTGTCCACACTTTCCAGAGCCCAGTGTCCATTCTCCCAGAAAACAGTGTCTACACCACCCAGATCCCACTGTCCACACTTCCAGACCCCTGTGTCCACACTCTACAGATCACAGTGTTCAATCTCCCAAGATCCCATTGTCCACCTACCCAGGTCCCAGTGTCCATACTACCCAGAGTTCAGTGTGCACACTCCTGGAATCCCAGGTTCCACACTCCCCATATCCCAGTGTCAACACTCCAAAGAGTAGTACAGTGTCCAAACTCCCCACATCCCAGTATTCAGAATCCATAGACTCCAGTGTCCACACTCTCCAGATCTCAATGTCCACACTCCCAAGATCCCAGTGTTTATAATCCCCTGATCAAGAGTTAAAACTCCCCCTATCCCAGTGTCCACACTGCCTGATCCCAGTGTCCACACTCCCCAGATATCAGTGTTCACATTCCCAAGATCCCAGTGTCCACCCTCCCCAGATCCCAGTGTCCACACTCCCAGATCCCCGAGTCCACACTTTCCAGATCCCAGTATTCACACTCCCCAGATATCAGTGTTCACATTCCCAAGATCCCGGTGTCCACACTCTCTAGACCCCAGTGTCCACAATCCCAAGATCCTAGTGTTCACACTCCCAAGATCCATGTCCACATTACCCTATTCCAAGTGTCCACACTCTCCAGATCCCAGTGTCCACAATCCCCAGATCCTAGTGTCCACACTCCCAGATCTCCATGTTCTCACTCTCCAGATCCCAGTGTCCACCCTCCCCAGATCCCAGTGTCCACAATTCCCACACTTCAGGGTCCACAGTCCATGGACTCAAGTGTCCACATTCCCCAGATCTTAGTGTCCTCAGTAATCACAGTGTCTCCACTCCCCTGATTCCATTATTCACACTACCCAGAGTTCAGTGTGCAGACTCCCCGATGCTGGTGTCCACACCCCACTGAGCACAGTGTCCATACTTTCCAGATCCAGTGTTCACACTCCCCATGTCCCAATGTCCACTCTGCTCAGATATCATTGTGCACACTACCCAGACACAGTGTGCACACTCTTCTGAACCCAGCGTCCACACTCCCCAGATCCCTGGGTGCACACTCCCCAGATCCCAGTGTCCACACAACCCAATTCCCAGTGTGCATACTACCCAGAGTCCAGTGTGCACACTCCTCTGATCCCAGGTTTCACACTCCCCATATCCCAATGTTAACACCCAAAAGAGTACCGTGTCCAAACTCCCCACATCCCAATATCCAGACTCCATAGATTCCTGCGTCCACACTGCCCAGATCACAGTGTCCACACTGTCCACATGCCAATGTTCCCACACCACAGATCCAAGTGTTCACATTCCCCCCGATCCCAGAGAACACACTCCCAGTTCTCATTGTTCACACTTGCCCTATCCCAGTGTGCATACTCCCAGATTCCTGTGTCCACACTCTCCAGATCCCAGTATCCACACTCCTCAGATCCCAGTGTCCACCAAAGCAGATCCCAGTGTGCACACTACCCAGAGTCCAGTGTGCAAACTCCTCTCATGTCCGGTTCCACACTACCCATATCCCCGTGTCAACACTCCAAAGAGTACAGTGTCCAACCTCCCCATATCCCAGTATCCAGACTCCATCATTTCCAGTGTCCATACTGCCCAGGTCCCAGTGTCCACACTCCCCAGATCCCAGTGTTCACAATCCCACGATTCCAGTGTGCACCATCCCCCTATTCCAGTTTCCAACTCCATAGATCCCAGTGTCCACACTCCCAGATCCCCATGTCCACACTCTCCAAATCACAGTGTCCAAACTCCCCAGATCCCAAGAATGCTAGCCTTGAGCTGAAGAGCCTTGAGGGACAGCGCCCAGGCCCAGAGTTCAGGCCCCACTTCTGGACCAAAAAAAAAATAGCAGCACAAACTCCCCAGATCCCATTATGTACCCTCCCATCAGATCCCTGTGTCCACAGTATCCAGAGTCCAGTGTGCACAATCCTATAATCCCATGTTCCACACTCCCCATATCCAAGTGTCAACACTCCAAAAAAACAGTGTGCAAACTCCCCATATCCCAATATCCAGACTTCAAAGATTCCAGTGCCCACACTGCCCAGATCCCAGTGTCCAATTCTCCAGATCCCAATGTCCATATTCCCCATATCCCAGTGTTCATACTCTCCTCAACCCACAGTTCATACATCCCCCATAACAGTGTCCAAACTCGCCAGGTACCAGCGTCCACTCTCCCCAGATCCCAGTGTCCACACTCCACAGAATTCAGGATTCACATTCCCTCAATCCCAGTGAGCACACTGCCCAGATGCCAGTGGTAGATTTTGTTCAGGACTTTCACATTGAAAATGTTTTTGTTTTTATGGGCAAGATTGCACACTGTTTTCTTTGGAGTGTTGACACTTGGATATGGGGAGTGTGGAACCTGGGACTATAGGAGTGTGCACACTGGACTCTGGATAGTGTGGACACAGGGATCTGGGAGGGTACACAATGGGATCCGGGTATTTTGAACACTGTGATTTGGAGAGTGTGGACATGAGGATCTGGGAATGTGGACACTGGGATCTATGGAGTTGGAAACTGGAATAGGGGGATGGTGCACACTGGAAATGGGGGAATGTGAACACTGGGATCTGGGGAGTGGACTCTGCATTCAGAAGAGTTGCACACTGGACTCTGGGTAGTGTGCACACTGGTATCTGAGCAGTCTGGACACTGGGATAAGGAGAGTGTGAACATTGGATCTGGGGAGTATGGACACTGTGCTCGGTGGGGTGTGGACTCCAGCATCTGGGGAGTCTGCACACTGAACTCTGGGTAGTGTGGATAATGGAATCAGGGGAGTGAAGACACTGTGATTAGTGAGGACACTAAGATCTGGGGAATGTGGACAGTTGAATCCATGGACTCTGGACACTGAAATGTGGGGAGGGTGGGCACTGGGATCTGGAGAGGGTGGACACAGGGAACTGGGAGTGTGGACACTGGGATCTATGGAGATTGGAAACTGGAATAGGGGGATTATGAACACTGGGATATGGGGATTGTGGACACTGGGATCTGGGGAGTGTGGACACTAGGATCTTGGGATTGTGGACACTGGGATCTAGGTAGTCTGGACACTGGGATCTCGGGAGTGAGGACACTGGGATGGGGGAGTTTTAACTCTGGATGAGGGGAGTATGAACACTGGGATCTTGGGAGTGTGGACATTGAGATCTGGGGATTGTGGACACTGAAATCTATGGATTCTGGGGTATAGGGAATATGGACACTGGGATCTGGGCAGTGTGGATACTGAATCTATGGATTCTGGATACTGGCATGTGGGCAGTTTGGACACTGTACTACTCTTTGGAGTGTTGACTCTGGGATATGGAGAGTGTGGAACCTGGGATTACAGGAGTGTGCACACTGAACTCTGGGTAGTATGGACACTGGGATTACAGGAGTGTGCACACTGAACTCTGGGTAGTATGGACACTGGGATCTGAGTGGGTGGACAATGGGATCTGGGGAGATTGGACACTGTGATCTGGAGAGTGTGGACACAGGGGTTTGGGAGTGTGGACACTGGCATCTGGGTAGTGTGGACACTGTTTTCTGGGGAGTATGGACACTGGGCTCTGGAGAGTGTGGACACAGAGATCTGGGGAGTGTGGATACTGTCTTCTGGGGAGTATAGACACTGGAATCTGGGGAGTGTGGACACTGGGATCTAGGGAATGTCGACACTGGACTCTGGGGAGTATAGACACTGGAATCTGGGGAGTATGGACACTGGGATCAAAAAAATCTGGACACTGGACTCTGGGGAGTGTGAACAATGATATCTGGGAAGTGTGGAAACTGGGATCTGGCAGTGTGGATACTGGGATCTTGGGAGTGTGGACACTGGGATAGGGGTGTGTGCACACTGGAATCTGGGGAGCATGGACACTGGGATCTGGGGAGTGTGGACATTGGGACCTGGAGAGTGTGGACACTGGGATCTTGGGAGTATGGACACTTGGATCTAAGCAATGTGGATCCTAGGATGTTGGGAGTGTAGACACTGGACTATGTGAATCGTGGACACTGGGATCTAGAGAGTTTGGACACTGGCATCTGGGGAGTGTGGACACTGAACCTTGTGGATTTTGGAACTGGAATCTTGGAAGTAAGAATATTGGACTCTGCTGAGTGTGGACACTGTGCTCTGTGGGATGTGGACACTGGGAATTGGGTTGTGTGGAAACTGGGTCTGAGGAATGTGCACCCAGGAATCTAGGGAGTGTGGCCTCTAGGATCAGAGGATAGTGCACACTGGACTCTGGGGAGTGTGAACATTGGATCTGGGGAGTGTGGACAGTGTGCTCTGTGGGATATGGTCAGTGGCATCTGGGGAGTCTGCACACTGCACTCTGGGGAATGTGGACACTGGTATCAGGGGAGTGTGGACATTGGGCTCTGGGGACTGTGGACACTGGAGTCTATGGAGTCGGGATACTGGGAAGTGGGGAGTTTGGACACTGGGATCTGGGGAGTGTGCACACTGGAGTCTATGGAGTCGGGATACTGGGAAGTGGGGAGTTTGGACACTGTAAGCTTTGGAGTGTTGACACTGAGATGTGGGGAGTATGGACCCTGGGATCAGAGGAGTGTGCACATTGGACTCTGAGTAGTGTGCACCCTGGGATCTGGGAGTTTGGACACTAGGATCTGAGGAGTGTGGACACTGGGATCTCAGGAGTGAGGACATTGGACTCTGAGGAGCGTGCACCCTGGACTCTGAGGAGTGTGCACATTAGGATCTACGAGTGTGGACACTGGGATGTTGGAAGTGTCGACACTGGGATCTGGGGAGTGTAGACACTGGGATCTGGCAGTGTGGACCCTGAGATCAGGGAAGTCTGGACACTTGCATCTGGGGAGTATGGAGACAGGGATCTGGGGATTGTGAACACTCGGATCAGGGGAGTGTGAACATTGGGATCTGAGGACTGTGGACACAGGGATGTGGGGAGTGTGGAGGGTGTGGACACTGGAGTCTGGGGACTGTGCACACTGGGATCTGGGGAGTTTGGACCCAGGGAATCTGGGGAATATGGACAATGGATTCTGTGGATTATGGACATTGGGATCTTGGTAGTGAGGACACTGGACTCTGGGGAGTGTGGAAACTGCTCTGTGGGGTGTGGACACTGGGAATTGGTCTGTGTGGACAGTGGGTATGAGGAAAATGCACCCAGGGATCTGGGAAGTGTGGAGCCTAGGATCAGAGGAGTGTGCACACTGGACTCTGGGTAGTGTGTACACTGGTATCTGAGCAGTGTGGTCACTGGGATCTGGGTATTGTGCACATTGGATCTGGGAAGTGTAGACACTGTGCTCTGTGGGGTTTGGCCACTGGCATCTGGGGGGTCTGCACACTGCACTCTGGGGAGTGTGGACACTGGTGTCTGGGGAGTGTGGACACTGTGATTAGTGAGGACACTAAGATCTGGGGAATGTGGACACGTGAGTCCATGCACTGTGGACACTGAAGCATGAGGAGTGTGGACACTGGGATCTAGACAGGGTGAACATTGGGATTGGGGGAGTGTGGACCCTGGATCTGGGCAGTATATACACTAGAATCTATGGAGTCTGGATACTGGGATATGGGGAGTTTGGACACTGTACTCTTTGCAGTGTTGACACGGGGATATGGGGAGTGTGGAACCTAGGAGCCGAGGAGTGTGCACACAGGACTCTGGGTAGTGTGCACACTGGGATCTGGACAATGGGATAGGGGGAGTGGGAACTATGGGAACTGGGGAGTGCGTACTCTGGAATTGGGGGGAATGTGAACACTGGGATTGTGGTGTGGGGACATTTGCATCTGGGGAGTGTGGACAATGTGATCTGGGCAGTGTGGACACTGGAATCTATGGAGTCTGGATATTGGGATGTGGGGAGTTTGGACACGGTACTCTTTTGGGTGTTAACATTGAGATATGGGGAGTGTGAAATCTGGGATCAGAGGAGTGTGCACACTGGACTCTGGGTAGTGTGCACACTGGGAATTGGGTTGTGTGCACACTGGGATCTGGGGAGTGTGCACGCAGGGATCTGGGTAATGTGGACGCTGGGTTCAGAAGAGTGTGCACACTGGACTCTGGGTAGTGTGCACAATGATATCAGAGCAGTGTGATCACTGTAATATGTGGAGTGTGAACATTGGGTTTGTGGAGTATGGACACTGTGCTCACTGGGGTGTGGACACGGGCATCTGGGGAGTCTGCACACTGAACTCTGGGTAGTGTGGATAATGGAATCAGGGGAGTGGAGACACTGTGATTAGTGAGGATGCTAAGATCTGGGGAATGGGGACACTTGAGCCCATGGACTGTGGACACTGAAACATGGGAATTGTGGACACTGGGATCTGGGGAGGGTGGACACTGGGATTTGGGCAGTGTGGACACTGGAATCTATGGAGTCTGGATACTGGGATGTGGGCAGTGTGGACACTGGAATCTATGGAGTCTGGATACTGGGATGTGGGGAGTGTGGATCCTGGGATCCAAGGAAGGTGCACACTGGACCTTGGGTTGTGTGAACACTGGGATGTGGGAGGGTAGGCACTGGGATCCAGAGAGGGTGGACACAGGGAACTAGGAATGTGGACACTGGGATCTATGGAGTTTGGAAACTGGAATAGGGGTATTGTGCGCACTGGGATCTGGGGAGTGTGGAGACTGGGATCTGGAGTATGAGAACACGGAGGTCTGGGAGTGTGGACACTGGGATCTGGGGAGTGTGGACATTTGGAATTGGGTGCTGTGGACACTGGGATCTTAGGAGTGTGAACACTAGGATCTTGGGATTGTGGACACTGGGATCTCGGGAGTGTGGACACTTGGATCTAGGGAGAGGGGACACTGGGATTTTGGGAATGTGGACATTGATATCTGGGGAGTGTGGATACTGGGATCTGGAAAGTGTGGACTCATGGATCTGGGAGTGTGGATACTGAGATCAGGGCAGTGTAGGCACAGGGATCTCCGGAGAGGGGACACTGGCTGGGGGATTATTAACGCTGGATGGGGAAGTATGAAAACTGGGATTTGGGAGTGTGGACTTTGAGATCTAGGGAGTGTGGACACTGGAATCTATGGATTCTGGGGTGTGGGGAGTATGGACACTGGGATCTGGGCAGTGTGGACACTGGAATCGATGTATTTTGGATACTGGGATGTGAGGAGTTAGGACACTGTACTATTCTTTGGAGTGTTGACTCTGGGATATGGAGAGTGTGGAACCTGGGA